CTTTCAGGGCGTGAAGAAAATTGCTGGTACTTCTGGGTGTAGAGAAGCATGAGCCTCAGCCCTTGTCCTATCAAGTGACAGTGCTGTTGCTTTGCAATGACTATTCCAATAACAAATTGTTGACCGTATCATCCTAACCTACCTAAGCCAACACTAATTTATGATTTGGAGGTTCCCCAGAAAGGTATTAGCTTTCTAGGGAAATCTCTTGGTGATTGGCTCAGTGCTCGTAGACCTTCATAGATTTCATAGACGTTTGTAAGCTCCATATAGAGTGAATCAGAGCTCAAACAGGTATTGGAACGAAGGAAATGTAACTATATACTGCTGGGGGACCATGTATTACTACAAAACCATTGCTTTAACCTTGTGGGCAAACCATCGAGTTTAGTGCTTCATGTTTTTTGCATTTGAATGTCAAAAAAATAAGTCAAACAATATAATTTGGAATGATAAAAAAACACAAATCAAAGTCAAGCTTGTTTGTTGGCTTGGTTGATTCCATAAAAATGGTCCGGGGTATTTCCCAGTACAATGCTGTGATAATTCGAGGCTGTGAAGGTGGAAATCTGTTTGTAACCCCCTCCCCACTCTGTACATTCCACAGCTGATTACTAGTTTTTTAAAATGTTTTTCTCCTTTTAGGCCCCTGGATCTGTCGACATTCACAGTGTACCTCGGGGTGTATCAGCTGTCTGAACTGAGCAGCCTCAATGCAGTGAAGAGAGGTGTGAAAAGGGTCATTACCCACCCAGACTTCACAGAAGAAGGATCAAGCGCGGACATTGCCCTGATGGAGCTCGATAAGCCGGTCTCTTTCACCTCCTTTATCTCTCCTGTCTTCCTTTCGTCCCAAAACGTCTCTCTTCCAGAGGGAACCATGTGTTCGGCTATAGGCTGGGGTGACATCCATGAAGAAGGTAAAGACCACTTTGGTTAAAGAAACATTGTAATTATAAGATAGGAGTTCAAGCTGCCGTATAAAGTACCTAGTTTCTCCTTAGTATTTATCGTTACCCCCCTCTCTTTGTTCCATACAGTCAATCTCCCAGAACCTAAAACCCTTCAGAAGGTGGACGTGGCCCTGATTGATAGCAAAAAATGTGAAGCAATGTACCGGGGCAGCTTAGGCTATGGTTCTTCTTACAATTTGATTGAGAAAGACATGATCTGTGCCGGCTACAAGCAGGGAGGAAAAGACTCCTGCCAGGTATGTGGAGAAACGTATCTTCTAGGCAATGTAGGCTTTAACGTTTGTGAAATGTGGCATCTGTAGATCCCAATTCAAATGTGCCTTCTGCTGTGATTTGTAGTTGATGGGTAGATATTACATATTGTGTTTTCTTCTTCCAGGGTGACTCCGGTGGTCCCCTCATGTGTAACGTGAAAGGGGTTTGGTTGCAGTTCGCTATCAACAGTTGGGGTTATGGTTGTGCCAGGCAGGGCTGTCCTGGAGTCTACACCCGGGTCCAAAATTACCAGTCGTGGCTCCTGCAATATGTGCCGAACATCCGCTATAGTGACGGAGGGAAAAGTTCACCTTCAGTCAATGCAACAAGTACCGCTTCAAACTCACTTTCTCTGGCAATAAGTCTGAAAGGACAACTGGGTGGAAAGATGGAAAACTCAACTTTTAATGCCACCGGCATAAAGTTGGCATCAGCGGCTACTTCCTCTCATGTTTTCTCCATGACCGGCATCATCCTGATCCTTTTCCCTCTGTTGTTCTTTGCATAAAGATTCTTCCTATTCCTACTCCTACAGATACATTAATCCCGGGGCTTGGTAACCACTGGGATGGGAAGAGTGGGAAATCCTCCTCAATGGGGAAATCAATAAACAGCTGATAGAGGTTCTAACCTCCTATTATCCTATCTTAAGTTAGACATTAATAATGTAGCCAATGTTAAAATGTTTATATAGACACAATGTTAGTCTATGGTATGATTGCTTGTAAGTGTTTGTTGGATAGAGAAGGGACAAAAATGTCATGTTATGTTTTGCCGCCTGTATCCCATTGGGGAGAATTCCCTTTACTTCCTGTACCAGATACTCAACAGGAAGTGGGAGGAATTCCCTCCAAAGTTAGGGATCTCCTCTCCTATACAGTTTTCACCGGTACAGGTGTCCCTGTTGGAAGATTTTCCCTCACCTCCTGTTCTGATGACAATTTTAATATTTTGTTTTGGTGATAGTGGTTTTTTTAACCCTAATAAAAACTTCCATTTAATGCTAAAAATAGTAGTTTGCCTTTGGAAATGCTTTAAAGATTATTTATTACGGTCTAAAATATTTTGAATACTTATACAATGTATGCCATTGTTACTATAATGTTACTATTACTAATATTAATGGGAACATTGACTTGTAGATGAGAAAAGATTAGGACCCCTATTTTTTTTATCTGTGAGGATGTTTATTTATATTTATTTGTATTTAATATGTGGTATTGTGTGTGTGAGTATTGTATATTTTTTGTCATTTAAATAAAGTTTTATTCTGAATTTTTGTCTTGATAATTGTGTTAAAATAAATAATTTCTTAAATGAGAAACACAAGTCTTTGTTTTTTTAAAATTAATTTTCAGTCTTGTTCACTTCTGAACTGCAGACAAAGAGCTGACTAAAAACATAAAATACATATATAAGAATCTTTTCACTAGGGATGCAACGATACCAAGTACAGTGCCCGGTACAAGTACAAGTACGGATACCTTTTGAGCTCCAAGACTAGACTAGAGAAAAACTCAGAAGTTAGGAGGCCGCTGTCATTTGTAAGGAGCACACGGAGCTCCCGGGATTTGTACATCTCTGTTCTAATGTATGATTTTGTTTTTATAAATATAAATATTCGGGATGCACCGATACCAGTCTTGCGAGTACGAGTACTGATACATTTTTGTTTATTGTCATGTGACAGCTTTCCTAAAAAAATACAGACTAATGATTTCAGGACAGGGGTGTAGCGCCAGAGCCCGGTCCCAGCTGCAACCGCTGCAACCCTGGTAGTTCTCACGAAAACGCCAAGTATCGGCATTGGTACTCGAAAAGTATCGGTGCATCCCTACATTTCACCTTACCTGTGTTCAGTAATGCGTACAGATATAATAGCTGCAGTGGGTGTTTGGTAGCTCTCAATAATCCCGGTCTGATTTGTTTTGTTTAAAGTCATCTTCTCAGTCATAAACCACCCGCCCATCCAGGCCCTCTCTAACATGACATGCCACAGCAGGGCAGGTGGTACATCATGCGCATATTGGGCCACCTCCAGCCAGGAGTACATCCTTGACAGCAAATAGTCTATGGTATGATTGCTTGTTACTGTTTGCCATCCATGTCCCTGTGTGCTGAGACCAGGGCAGGGATGGATGTACAAAGAAAAAAAAACAAAAAAACAAGGAAGGCAGATGGGGCTTTTAAGGTGCCCAAACCATACATCATGTCCATCAGACACACGTAGTCTTGTATAATTGTTTTTTATTTTATTCATTAAAAAAAACATAATTTAGAAGCTTGATTACACAAACATGATACAATAACACATTAAAACTGAACTACCTCCTTACGGAACCCACATATGTGTATACATTATACCCATAGATCTGTTTCTCCTGAATTGTCCTTAAACACATATTTGTCATGTAATGTGGGCCTGATCTTCGACGCGTTTCATGACTGTATGTGCTTCATCAGGAAGGTTGGAGGTAACCTACGATATTGTATCGAAAATAAATCTGAATCTAATAAGTTTCATAACAGACATTATAATAGGAGGGGAGGAGAGGAGCATGGAGATGGAAAGGAGCCGAGAGAAGAAGGAAGGGAATGGAGGAAGAGAATAGGAGTGAAGGAAGGAGAGGAGAGAGGAGACCAGTGAGAGAAGAAAGAAGATGGGTGAGAAGAAAGTTAATAGGAGGAATAGGAGAAGGGAGAGGAAGAAGCAGGAGAGAAGTGAGGGGAAGAGAGGAGAGAGGAAAGAGGAGAGAAGGAAGGAAGAGAGTAAAAAGGAGGAGAGGGGAGCAAGTAGACCAGAGAGAAAAAAGAGAAGATGGAAGAGAACAGAGGAAACAGGAGATGGGAGAAGAAGGAGGACAAGAGCATTAAGGGGAGGAGAGGAGCAAGGAAATGGAAGGGAGCCGAGAGAAGAAGGAAGGGAAGGGAGGAAGAGGAATGAAGGAAGGAGAGGAAAGACCAGTGGGAGATGAAAGAAGATGGGTGAGAAGAGGTAGAAGGGGGAAGAGAAGAAAGAGGAGAGGGAAAAGGAGGAGAGAAATGTGGGGAGGGCAGAAGAAAGGAGATGGGAGGAAGGATAGAGAAGATGGCAGAGAAGAGAAAAGAGAGAAGAAAGGAGTAGAGGGGAAAGGACACAAGAGAGAGAAGGACTAGAAGAGAATGGAGAGGGTTAGTTAAGAGAGGAGAACAACTGGGACTGTCTACAGCATCTCAAGAATAAATAGTAGCATCCTCTGTAGACCTGAGCATTCCAGTTTAGGACATGTATGCACAATCTCCCTCAGATGTATATGGCCAGTTTTGGGGTCGGTGTGTCGGCCGAGTGTAGGCCCTTAAACATGGTAAAATATCCTAATTATCTGGCAAATGGACACCTTAAAACTTAATAAATACATTTATTTTTTCACACAACTAGCACCCCCTGCAAAGGCAGCTTTGGGAAACGGTGCGGTAGCACTAGGTGTCAATCAGGGCTCTGTTTCTTTGCACAGTGCTGTTAGTCTAACACAGTCCTCTTGCAGGCACAACACAGAACAATATGCATTTGGAAACGTGTATCCAGCTATTTGTCTGGAGTTCAGCTTTTGGTCTAATTTAATTAAATTTACTTTAATTTAATGTAACCTACCAGTTTAATTCCAGGGCCCATGATTTGGAGTTTAGATGAGCAAATTAACTGAAACAGATACAGCTGGTCCTTTATTTAATCTAAGCACAGACACAAAACATGCAGAAAAGAACTGCTGCCCATGTGATCAGGAAATCTTGCTGGACAGATGTAGCTCGGCTGCTCCAGTGTGGGGTCTGTATATTGACTCTAGTGACTCTAGTGACTGTAGTGACTGTAGTGGCTGTGCTGCTGTCAGCTTTGGTGAAGTTGACAAACAACATGTTCTTCTGAGTCTCTGGAGCCTTCAGCTTAATCCAGTCCTGAAAGGAAGTCAGTCGGGTGTACACCCCGGGGCGGTTCACCATTCCACAACCATCACCCCAACTCACCAGCCCAGCCAGGAACCACTGTCCACCTTTGGAGCAGACCAGAGGACCCCCGGAGTCTCCCTGGAAAAAAAGATAAAAAAACATGAGTTTTGGCCAGGTTGCTGGAGGGAAATGGACAGATTTGGTATTGTATATATTTATCACTTATAGAATCCTAGAAGGTTTTAAAGTTTTAAAAAAACAACATATTGACTTCATGTTTGCAACACGTGCGCATTTCCTCATGCTTTGTCTCTTTCAATGTGCTGCAAGTACAGAAAAATACCTGCTTTGATCTGACAAAAATCCAGTGAGCTCCAAACTTCCTATTTGAACTGATAACTCTGCCTCTCCCAACCAGTGCAGTCAGTCCTGTGCAGTTCTCCTCTGCTGGACTACAGAACTCCTTCCTCTTCTATAATGGAAATAAGGAGAGCTCCTATTTCCTGGGGTTGGGATTTGGGATTCCATTACTCATTGTGTTGTCAGCTCACTACAGGAAATAGGAGCTCACTGGATGTGTGCCTCGTGATTTTTTTCATGAAAAAAGTGTGCCTTTGCACAAAAAAGGTTGAAAAACACTGGTCTAGGTGATCGACAGATATTTTTGTGTACTGGCAGTGTCTTTTAAAGGGGCAAACCTTCGTACATTCTGAATTTAAAGTATACCTTTCATAAAAGATATTTAATTTCTGCCAAGGCTAATCGCCTTCTGCAAGGATGTGCCTGACTTCAGCACTTCTCAGTCACTGCCCTGCAATCGGCATGCAACATCAAGACATGCAGCAGCAAGTCAGGAGTCATATTTCCTCATATTTGTGATTGACAGTTTTGAAACCAAAGGATCGGGATGGTAGCCAGGAAAGGAGATGAGTAATGGCAGCCCCCAAATATCTCCCAGCACTGGTTCCCATTATCATCAACAACTGGTTTTAAAGGTTTTTTAGGACTGAGATATGCAACATTTACAAAATCAAGACGTACCATTGGTAAACTAAAAGATCTTCTAAGCTTTGTCTGCCGTGGTCAACATAAGAGCCTTTAAATGCAAACATTCTCACCCATTATTGCCTGCTGATTAGTAACAGATAACTTCAATATGGTATGTTTATGCTGTAGTCGATTCCCCTTCCCCCACCTTCATGTTCCCTATACGAATGCACACCTGTCCACGATCCTGGAAGATCTGCATTGCGTGGCTTTTTGGCAACTGTATGTTCAGCACTAAAAACCTGTCCTGAAGGTTTTTGCACATGTGCGATCCAATCCCATTCATTTCTATAGAGAGGGCATCTATCAGGTGACCCAACGATAGACAGTGTCTCCATGGAAATGACTGGGATTTGTGTGGGCATGTGCAGCAGGCTTTGGGAGAAGCTTACTCCGCTGGGACAGCACTGGGATTTTCATGTACAACTATCTCTTGGCTTAGAGAATGGCTTGAAAAAGAGAAAATGTCCAGTGAGCGGCAGTTCTCTGTGCGAAAATGCCTTGTTGATGTCAGAGGTCAGAGGAGAATGGGCAGACTGGTTCAAGCTGATAAAAAGGCAACAGTAACTCAAATAACCCCTCGTTACATCCGAGGTCTGCAGAAGAACATCTCTGAATGCACAGCATGTCCAACCTTGAAGCAGATGGGCTACAGAAGACCACATTGGGTGCCACTCCTGTCAGCTAAGCACAGGAAACGGAGGCTACAATTCACACAAGCTCACCAAAATTGTACAATAGAAGATTGGGAAAACGTTGCCTGGTCTGATGAGTCTCAATTTCTGATGTGACATTTACAGGTGAAACTCGAATAATTAGAATATTGTGCAAAGTTCATTTATTTCACTAATGCAACTTATGCGGTGAAACTAATATATGAGAGAGACTCATTACATGCAAAGCAAGATAATTCAAGCCGTGATTTGTCATCATTGTGATGATTATGGCTTACAGCTCATGAAAACCCCAAGAACCCCAAATCCACAACCTCAAAAAAGTAGATTATTACATGCAATCAATAAAACAAGGATTGTACATAGAACAATATCGGACCTCTGACAAGTACAAGCATGCATATGTACTCAGTACTTGGTTTGGGCCCCTTTTGCAGAACTTACTGCAATTACTTTTGCACGATATTCTAATTATTCGAGTTTCACCTGTATATGGTTGGGTCAGAATTTGGTGTAAACAGCATGAAAGTATGGATCCATCCTGCCTTGTATCAACGGTTCAGGATGCTGGTGGTGCTGTAATGGTGCGGGGGATATTTTCTTGGCACACTTTGGGCCCCTTAGTACCAACTTACCTTTGTTTAAACACCACGGCCTTCCTGAGTATTGTTGCTGACCATGTCCATCCCTATATGATCACAGTGTACCCATCTTCTGATGACTACTTCCAGCAGGATAACGTGCCATGTCACAAACCTAAATTCCACTCAGGCTGGTTTCTTGAACACGATAATGAGTTCACTGAACTCCAATACACAGTCACCAGAACTCCATCCATTAGATCACCTCTGAGATGTGGTGGGACGGGATCATGGATGTGCAGCCTTCTAATCTGCAGCAACTGCGTGATGCCATCATGTCAATATGGACCAAACTCTCTCAGGAATGTTTCCAGCGCCTTGTTGAGTCTATGCCACGAAGAATCAGGGCAGTTCTGAAGACAAAAGGGGTCCAACCCGATACTAGCAAGGTGAACCTAATAAAAAGGCCAGTGAGTGTGTGTATGTATATATATAGAAAATCCCCTCCCTAAATGATCCCCAGATTGCAACAATGATGTCGGATGATCTGGATGCTCTTTGGATTCACTGTGCAAGCATCAAAGTGAACATTGTCATTCGAACTCTCAGCAAGTGAAACGTCACCATTGTGCTAATTGGCACCTTCATCAAGCCAACGTCATCTTATCGTAATATGTTCCCTCTGCGTGCGTCGCAATGTAGCATCAAACGGGGAATAAAAGTCCTTCGAAGGTAAATTAAAATGTTCACTTTGAGCTCTACCATTCCGCTATGTTACATAAAAGTCCCACTAATGTGATGCCCGGGATGACCTGGGCTCAGATGAAGTGGGTTGACTGATGCTGAACATCAGACTGAGGACATCTAGCAGCAGAAAAAAAGTTTTATGTGGGAAATCTCTGGATTGAAGGTTCAAACCTGGATACATGTGGGGTCACCGTGGCCACCTCCATGACTTTGCCATGTGGTCCTCTGTACAATGTCTAATGATACGATACTTCCACTCTGTGACTCACCTGACAGGAGTCTATCCCGCCGGCCTGATACCCGGCACAGGTCATATCGCTCAGGATTATGGGAACCGAACTGCTGACACCAGACTGGATATGGTAGAGCCGGTCGCAGGTATTTGAGTTGATCAGAGGGACCCGGGCCTCCTGCAGAGTCTGGGGGCTCGGGAGGTCCACTGTAAATAAATCATAAAACAGATCAAATGATGTAGCCAACCAATTGAACGATTTGCTGATGTATGATCACCATCTATAGGCTCTGACACCAGTCAGCACTGTTTCTTATTTTTGTTAGGAGCGGGTCGGGGGTGGGGGTGTCACTGGAGAGGTAAGTCTTAGTAAGGAGGGTGCTTACAGCAAACAGCGTCACTTCACATAATGACATATTAGCACCGCTCATTATAGGAGTCCAATGATCTCAGGCTGCATGGTGATGCACCCCCGGAAAGAGGTTCCATGACATTCATTGGTATACTCCTGACATAAGTGGTAGATTAGCGCTACTACACTTGTTTTCTGTATCCATTGGCATCTTCCACTATACTTCCTCCCTGCTTACTGTCACTTGGTATAGTCTTAGATAGACCTTCCAAGCTTCTCCCATGTTTATTTATTTATCTATTTATTTATTACAGGTATTGCATACAGCACTGACAACTTACCCAGTGCTTTACAGTGTGCACATTCACATCGGTCCCTGCCCTCAAGGAGCTTGCAATCTGAAGTCCATGGGGTTGATTTACTAACCTAAACACACACACACACCAGGTGTGTGTGATTTTCACACAGCAAAACGTATTTATCAACCAAAAAGTCTCTAAAAGCATATTTCCACTAATGCCATATATGGAAAAATCATGCACATGATGCATATATAATGCTGCTTCACAGTTTAGACAAAAATGGTTAGCTCATGCATTTACATTCCTGCATTCATCAACGCAAGCAACACAACATAGAGCTAATTTACCCAACATCACCTTGCAATTCATGCAGGGCTTTGAACAACACACCTGCTGGGTGTGTACACACTACAAAGGTGTTTTGATTCCTCCCATAGACCATGCTGGGAGGGAACACACTACAGAGGTGTATACACGTTCGTGGTGTGTTTAAAAGGTTAGTAAATCAACCCCCATATCTCACATGCATACATACAAGGGCCAATTTAGACAGGAGTCAATTAACCTTCCAGCATGTCTTCGGAGTATGGGAGGAAACCAGAGGACCCGGAGGAAATCGACGCAAGCACAAGGAGAACACTGCATGCAGATAGTGCCCTGACCAGGATTTGAACCAGGAACCCCCAGTGCTGCAAGGCAGATGTTCCCACATTTGTATTGTTTGGTTTGGAAGATCTATTGTCTTTTTACACATCATGTGACCAGCAAACATCCTCTGTAATGTATTTTGAGAAGAAAAACTATGTTGGATCTAAGCTTCTGTGTCTAACTGGAGAGTTACCAGCAAATAGAAAGATGTGACCAGCACTCCAATCCAGCGGATCATTATTGAGCCTGATGAAGGGGACCCTGTGTGGCCCCAAAAGCGCTTGTCTTTGTGACTTTTGTCAATAAAATGGATTTACACTGACGTGAATCATTGGATTGGAGTGCTGGCGACATCTTTCTATTTTTTGCTGTATCTGCTTGCAATGACTCATCCGCAGTCATTGCAAGCACCTATTATCATTGGGACATCCGGTAAGGAGTGCAGCAAGGTATATGGACTTATTATTGGAGAGTTAGACTCTGAGTCAGCTTGTGACTATACTGCCCGGAAGGATCGAGGGCCCAAGGAGGTATGTCAAAGCATAAAGCGGCTCTTGAGACAGAATAGGGGGAGGGCGTGCCCACCTATATTCCAGCATTGGAGATTATAGGAAAATTATATTTCTGAGTTATCAACATGGGGGCTGACTCTTTAAAAAGCAGAAGCAGCAACTATGGTACTATTGAAGGAGTCTGGACTAAAGTTTAAAAAAAACAAAAAAACTACCTGAATGGATTTTACATTGGAAAATACATTGATAAACCCCTTGTAGATAGCTGGTGGGGTATATGACAAGAACTTGTAACTACAGATATACAGAACCTACCTCCAGACCTGATGGTCCCCCAGCCGGTCACCCAGCAGTCTAGTCCATCTGGGAAGTTCACATCGGCAGTGGGCAGACAGACCGGGAGGATGTACGCGGTATATTTGACCGGGGTCTTCAGCTCTATGAGGCTGATGTCCCCCAACGAGCCCACACCTGTAAATTTGGGATTCTTTATGATGGTTTTCACCCCAACAGAAATCTCCTGCGAATTTGGACTGGAAAGTTGGTAGCAGCCGAGGTGGACGGTGAGTTTGGAGGTTGTCACAGAGCTGTAATATTAAGAAACAAATACAAGAAAAAGATGAAAAACAATAAAATCAACAATTATAACATTAAGAAAAAAAATGTAGAAAGTCTATAACTAGATCTTGGTGTCCATTTCTAAACCTAAACTCTAGCTGGGGCTCAAAGGGCAATTCTGATGTTTTTTTGTCAATTTTAATTTTATCTTTATTCCAGGAAATGTTCAATCTGACCCAATCCACTGAATTCTGTCCCACGAATACCCAACCTCCACCCATCAACCTATCACAATTTTCAGCCTAAATCTGTATAATCCAAGCCTTCATATTTGCTGGTGTTTAGGTTTATATTCCAAATTGGGGGCGAATGAACTACTCCCCAGTTTATGATGAATCTCACTCACTCTATAGAGTCTAATTGAAGCCGAATGCAAATACACGTGCAGCTTCCAGCATTGAAAATTGGGCTTTGGAGGTAAATTTCCTGCTTAGCTGATGGACCTACCAATCAGATCCCGGATGAACCCCCACATTTTTTGGAAATTACGGCATTTGTATTAAACTTGGTTTAACACTACAAATGAATATAATGCCTAATATTAATTCAAAAAAGGGAAACATAATCTACTGCCCACAGGGCGAGAGGCTTTGCGGCACAGTTCTCTGCATTTCAGGTACAAATATCAAAAATTTCCTTGGGCAAGTTTTCAAAAATCTGGAATTATGCTAATTTGGATACAGTCATCAGCTAGGCGCAACCAGTTATGCTGATGACAGAAGCCCCCTTTAGTGATCCCTAAATTATGAAAATTATTGTAAAAAGTGCCTATAAAATGAATATATATATACACAGTATATATATATTTTTTTTTTTTACAGTATATACAGTATATACAGGTGAAACTCGAATAATTAGAATATCGTGCAAAAGTAATTGCAGTAAGTGCTGCAAAAGGGGCCCAAACCAAGTACTGAGTACATATGCATGCTTGTACTTTTCAGAGGTCCGATATTGTTCTATGTACAATCCTTGTGTTATTGATTGCATGTAATAATCTACTTTTTTGAGGTTGTGGATTTGGGGTTCTTGGGGTTTTCATGAGCTGTAAGTCATAATCATCACAGTGATGACAAATCACGGCTTGAACTATCTTGCTTTGCATGTAATGAGTCTCTCTCATATATTAGTTTCACCTTTTAAGTTGCATTAGTGAAATAAATGAACTTTGCACGATATTCTTATTATTCGAGTTTCACCTGTACACATACACTGTGTTTGAAGTTTACCCCTGGCAAAGCAAAGCCCCTTGTTCTTTTTTTGGCAGACAGTTAGGGTCACAACTTTACATTTCCCCCCCGCCAATAGATTGCCATCACCAACCTGATAATACAGTGAGCAGCAGAGATCACCCAGGATTCACTGATGAGGGATCCACCGCAGAAGTGTCGTCCATTCATGCGTAAACTCACTTGCCATGGCCACTCCCCCGCCTGGGCATCCTGTCCGCCCATAATTCGGCTTGCCACCTGAGGCTTTCCACATTCTGCAGAGAGGATTAATCATATGTAAAGCAAAACTCCAGGATATGCAAAAGTTGACCCTTGCAGTTGACACCCCCCCCCCCCCCTCCAAAAGGGTTAACT